TATATATATATATATGTATATATTAGTATATATATATATAATATATATAGATTTGGGACACAGTGGTTCGTTAACAGTTTATAATGAAAGCTGAGGAGGATGCTTTTCAAATCTAACCATTGAAATCCAGCTGAGCCTTCTCAAGCAAATGCTGAAAATGGTTTACTTACTGTTCTTCTCTCCTCAGTCCGCGACAAAAAACCAATAATACCACTAATGCCGGTGTTCGGATTTGGATTACCAGTAAGTATACAATGCTCTGGACGACTATCCCAGAACACTACTTCGACCAGGCTCTCAAAGTTTAACATGAAAGACACATTTTTAGTGTTTGAAGAAATTTGTGATAAATGGATTAGATTGTATATCACTGCAAAGTAGTATTGAAAATGCCCTTATCTTGTGTATGTTTTATTGAAATTAAATGATTACTTTAACACTCACGCAAAAGTACAAGTTATAGTATATACGTACCAGATTAAAACATTATATCACCTAAAACAACCAAAATCACAAACACCCTACTATTGTGTTTTACACTGCAGGAAAATTCTAGTTTGCAAATTTTTTCTTGAATGTTTACAATTGGGAACGGTATTCTTTTACAGTTCTCTAGTTGTTGTAGCAGGATATGAGAATCCTTTGAACGGTGGCGGAGACTTTGCCTCAAAAGACTTGTCTGTTTAGAAACCCCTGTATTTCATCGGTAGCCCTATTGTAAAGGATGCAGCTGCTGTCACCGAGCAAAAAGTCATGCAAGCAGGGTTTTCTCCTAATGAAGATTTTAAGATCAGTCCAAACAATGTTCATCATTATGAAGGAGTTTTGAGGGCACAGAGGTGCCAAGCCTTGATCGATTAGGCCTACCCAGGTGTGCTTACAAATGGCAATGAATCATTGTGATGAGGGCTTCTTCCAACACTAAGATGCAGATACCATTTTAAAAAAAAAAAAATTTTCTCCCCCAAGCTTCATGTTCTACTCCGAGAGATGACAGAATTTCAATATAGCTTCTATATAATTTCGGAATATGTTGACTCTAACTAATCTGACACAACTCTCTTAGTTATTCTGTGTGATTACTAAACAATAAGGTCTTGAATACAGACTGACAGGAACTGACCCTTCCTAAGCCCACCCTTTTTGCTCTGTGCTCCAGTAACAGATGAGCAAGCCTCTGTGAACTTTCCTCTTATGTCATCATAGTCACAATCTCAACAGTAAGCGAATAGCCTACAGCACAATAGGCATGCTATCTAAGTTAGCTACGGTAAAGGAGGAAGTTGGCCAAATTGGTTCAAACATTGCGGCACTTAGGAAGGAGTCAATTTTGATATATAAGCATTTAGTATAGCTCGCCAGAGTCTTACTGACAACCATTCACAAAAAAAAAGATGTCAGTATAACTGTATTGTGTGTTTGGCATTTTTTAATATAAAAAGATTTCTTCCTATTTTTTTTTTTTTTTTTTTTTATTTAAATGGGCTAAATGAAGTGTAGGAAAGACTAAATGTGATTCACAGAGGAAGTCGAATTGCAGAGCAGAACGTACGAGATATATATCCTGTTTTATAGTATCAAGTCTGTATAAGTTATCTATCCAATTAGGTCCCGACATCTTAACTATTACCATTACAGATGCAGTTTTGTTGTTTGGCCAACTCAAAGAAAAGTAACAGTCTGTTTCCTATTCTTCTGCCAATTTATGTGGATGGCAAGCTTTTTAGAGAAACTATGTTACAAAATGTAGGTGTGGACGTGTATACACTGTATTAAAGAGTGGGCGCGATGATAGTTTTTCTGAGCTCAAGCAAACTGAGGCCACAATGCCATCGCACTATCCACTATATTCCAGATAACTGCCATACAAGACACCTTCGCATCATATGAAAATAGGAACCGGTACGAGTTTGGCAGTTGCGACCCTTTATAGAGATAATGGCGCGGTATCATTGTTGAGGATGTATACATGTATATACCCTGCAGAAATGTGTTGGTGTGTGTTTCGTAAGTGACGTGTCTTTGGCTCCTTCCAGGTCCACTGATCACTGTGAGCATGAATTCTTCTTTATCAAAGAATGAATGTGATCATTAGGTCTGTCCAGGGCCCACACCTGCTGGGATCCAGGCCCCCAGCCACCCTGCACAGGATGAGCAACTGCACGTATGAATTATATTATTCAAGGCAAGTGAGCATTGGCTTTAACATTTGGAAATGGCAGTGGTCACTTGGTGCAAATCAAATCTTAATATCAAGAGAGTGATGGTTGGCTGGATGCATAATTAGCTAAAGCAATACAGTCAGATTTATCTGTGATGATCAGTTCTCAGCCAAAGACAGCATAAATTACATGTCTGATGAATTCTGTTGAGATGGAAGCTGTACACTGATTATCAAAATCAACTGTTTACAGATGTCAACAAACAGCTGATAACCTCCAAAGTATCTGCTACATTACCTGGGGGACCTCTACTTATTCTACAGCTGTTTAACTAAACACAAGGTCAGACAACACATTGTTCTTGTTAGTCTTTGAAACTATAATAGATAATATTTAGCATCTGCTCTGAAAACATGACAAGCTCAGAGATGAAGAGACCAGGCGTCAGGAGGTAGAGAAAAGGAGATAGCTTTACTATAAAGAAGGCGTCGCTAGCAGAAGTTGCAACATCTCATCATACACGCATACATGGTGAATATATTTATGCCATTTTCTGTTGAGTATGTACCTTACAAAAGCTGTTATTTTGCGTGTCGAAGCAAGACTTTGACGAGCTGCTCTGTTACACATGGTAAAAACAAGAAGATGCTAATATGAGAATTCATTAAAAAAAAGCCAAACCGCATGTGATCAATCCCAAAAAATCCAGTTGCACCAGTAAGATTCTAGACGTTGCAGCATTTTGAAACAAAGAGAAACAAAAAGCTGTAGAACTGCACATTGACATTTTCTTTTCCCCGATGAAAGGTGAGCTGAGGTGATGCGGAGAGAAAAAGAGACACTTGGCTCCGTGTGTACCTAAAATCGACGTGCACAAAGAAAAGGACAAGAAAAAAAAGCACTGTGTTTCAGCAAATATGCATATTTCTCTTTTCTTTGTTATATAGCCAGTCTACAACATTCCCCTATTGTGATCCACTCGGGGGGGTGAGAAAGGCCGTGTGGGAAGAAGGAGGGGATGCAGGTTTCCAGGACAGATCTTAAAGAAAACACTTCCAACGAGTCCAGTTTGAATGTTCGGACTAACGTTACCAATGTTTGATCTCTCAGTGCTTTTTCTTCCAGTTTTCTTCCATCGCAGCACCGGTTTGCTGTTTTTGTCAAGATGTCTGTGCTCGGTGCTCACACCAGCGTTAGAGTCAACAGTAAAACAATGGTATCAGAGGAAAACACTCCACTGATTAAAACTCAGAGGATATTGCTTTGAGTTCCTGCAGAGAGACATAAGGAAACATGAGTTTTTGGAATTAGTGGCACAGAGGTTGTGTTTTAGAAGAATCAGACACTCTTTTGTTTTAAAAGGGGGAAGGAAATACCAGGCCAGAACTGTTTTCAAAATGGCCGCCTGTCACCGGGACACAAGCTGTGTTCCATTTTAGAGGCCTCCTCCTTTGAAGTCTGCAGATTGAAAGTGTTACAATAGATGGACAAGGTCAGTTCGACTTCAAATGAGTCAAGAACTGCAGGCTTCTTTTGCCAGATTTGGTTAATGTATTGTGGACCCGTCAAATGTTTAATGGTGCATTTATGGCAATCTTTGTCAACTTGTAATAATTGTCAGATAAAGCTGACTATTGTAAAGCCAATACAGGATGCAAATGTCAGCTGGAAATAAACTCCACCGTTTTTTTGGTGGCACTTGTTTTGCCAACTAAAAATGTTAATCATATTCGCCTTTTTACCTGCCTGTTTGTCAGATGGCTTTACCCAAGTTTATCAGTGGTATTTACCACTTCTAAACCTATTACATAATGTAAGGTAATGGGCCACCAACTGGCACCAATTGGGGTTTGTGAAAACATCTTGCGCTGTGGTTTGTCCCGAAACAGCTTACTCACCTACCAAAGAGAGTAAAATGACATAGTTGGCCCTGCAGTGAAAAGGCAGGAAAAAAACTATTACCAAAGCTTCACAAGATTCTTAAAAGTTAATGTTTTGGGAAACCCAGGTTATGAATTATTAAGGACCTGCAGTATTTCTTTTGGAAGTGTGGATTTTTCAAGTTGATGAGATTGCCTGAATGTAGCATTATGGGTCAGAATTGCCCAAAATAGACATGGATGTGGACAGCGGACATGCACACATTTTTGTTTACATGACGCTAGTCGTCTGCATAGGTAGACCAACACAAATTGGTGTGTGTGGTCCAAATGAATTAGAGAGTAATTTGAGCTTTAGTTTTGGTCTGTGTGAGGCCTGACAGGAGGAGCAGACTCAATGTTCTGTCCTCTAAAATGGAACTAGCTATGTAACAATAGGCATGTTAGGTGAAAGGCATTATGGGAACAATGAATCTATGCAGTCTGTGAGTGATGGCAAACAGTTTAAAGGAGGGGAGTTTGTTCCAATACCTCGGCAAATGTATGTTTTTTTTAGGCCTACTAGCAGCTTGTGCGCGACAGTGCTACAAACGGTATATTGCAGGAGCACTTACATCTTATTTACATCATAAAGAATCTAATGTATTCCTCTTTCACAATATAGAATCCAAACCATCATCAACAAGCGACTGATGGACTTGCCACAGTCAGTACCATATTTCACAATGTCAAAGAAAAGGGCAACACAGAGTGAAGAATGATTCTTGTTACTTTTTCAGAGTGCAAATGTTAGTCAAAGCTACAATACAAAGGTGGGTGACAGACTAGAGATGCACGCTTCGCATTTGCTCGGTGGATACAGATTTGTGACTTTTAGTTTCCTTTTCGGATAAAGCATTTTTCTGGGGAAATCGACTTAAATATTTACAAAGACAAGAGTTTTTTTTTCAGGACCTACATGTACAGAATATATGTCGAATGAATAATAAGCAACAATATTAACTTTTTGTGTGGTGGAAAAGTTTTGTTACATAAATCTGAATAACACAGAGTAATACAACATGAGTACAAGAAGAGCAGCACAACGGACGGATAAACATAACCTTTTCATGTACGATGACGGGTATTTTGTTGTTTTGTTTACAGCAGACAACATACTGTTGTGTTGAATGCCTCTTATGATGAACAATAACAGATTCTGGAGATTTAAAATTATTTGGTTAAAAAATGTGTATGTAACAATAATTAAATTAAGGACTAATATATTAATACTATCCACATAATGTAATAAATAGAAATATAAAATAATATTAATATTTAAAATACAACTCGCAGTCGCTAACTGCAGTAAAGATCTATGTGATTTAGGGTTTAATAGTGCCGTTGAGTAGCAGGTAACTACAGTATGAGTGCCAAAGTTATGTGGTGAAACCAATGAGCACTCAGTGACCATTTAGTATAAAATCAGGAAACCCAAGCAAATCATTGAGTCAGTCCATCAGTCTACTAACAGAATGACTACATGGCAAATATGGTTGAAGAACAAGTGAAATACTGAGTGTGTGTACTTCTAAAAACTTGTTCTGTCACTCAAATATTTTTATTTTTTATTTTGTCCTCTGCAAAAACTGAAGAGTAAGCTTATGGGCTTCATTTCAAAAGGTGGCTCTGAATTTAATGTACATATATTCATGCTGTAAATTTAATTCAAGTATTCTACGTGGCCCTAACGCAGTCCTTATTTTTTCATCAAATTGATTGAGTTTATAAAAACTAGAGGGAAGGAAAGAAGTGTAGATCCTTCTCTCAGGGTGGATTCAGACTAAACATGAAGACAATTTTAGAGGCGGTGCAATTGCATATATGTTACAAAGACGTAAGAGGAAAAACAATCATGAATTAAGCCGAAGATGTGCCCATCCGAATTGAAAATGTTGACAATGTGAGCTTCTGAGGAAAAATAAAACAAAGTAAGAATTGGAGGTTGGTGTGGATGTTGCTAGCTAGCTGACACCTAAAGTCTGTACATTGGCTGTTTAAGGCGAATAAAGACAGACTGCAAAAACAATCCAGTGACGAAATTTGTGAGAAAAATGCAAGGCAGAAATTTAGTCTGAACACACCTTAAGGATCCCAGCCTCTCATGCTGCATTCATGTCCCATGGGAGAGAACGTAGATATTAGCTTCCAACTTGAAAATATTATACATCTCAGCTTAAAGGGACCCTAAACTAACAGAATTAATTCCGGTGTCAAAGCTAAGAAAATACATGTAGGAAAGTTGTAGAGGAATATAAAGTATTTTTTTTAAAAATGTTTTCTTTCATAGTAAGTCATTATGCGATCACCATGTTGGATTGACGTTGCAATGTTTGGTTTGGTGTAAAAAAAAAGGACCGCTCACTTATTCATGTTGTAACAAATAAGAAACCAGCAGAGAAACAGAATCATATAAGCTTTACAGCTCCAAAGAAGTACAACCATCAACCAACAGTTGATCCCATTTGACATGAATGCAGCATTAGCCTGCATGCTAAATAAGGAATCACTGGGTTGTGAACTACTGGTGTTTCTCAAGCAAAACTAGTGTTCCTCTCTGTTGCCTTCCCATTTCTCTTGCACTAAGTTACTACCATGCTTCCAAAATATTATTTATCAACTTTAAAAAAAAAAAAAAGGGACTCATCAACAACATACTGTAGCAGAGCTTGCTGCTTGTGGCAGAAATAGCTCTTGTTGTGGCGGCCATTTTGAACATCTGCAATATAACATTGGATTCGAGGTAAGAAAAACATGTCTACCACGTCTACAAGGCAAAGTGAATAAAAGCAAGTGATTCAGCCTGCAAGTGGTAACGAAATGGAAAATGTGTACTTTTACTAACCAGATTAAACCCAAAATGGTATGGAGGTGATAGTGCATAGTTTTGCAGGGCACTAAAATGTGTGCCATGACTGTATTCAGCACTCAGATTCAATGACTCGTCTACCAGCTGTGGAAAAACTAAAATCTTTCATTGCGTAAATATCAATATGATAAACATATCTGCCGGCATCCTGTTGAGTTTGATGTTTAGAAGCTGATATGTTACAGGATGGGGCCAGTGTGTGTGTGTGTAAGGGACTTCTTGTGTGTACTTTACTGGGATGCTACACAGAGGAGGTATGATGGGTGTATCAGGAAGGAGAGCATGGACACTGGAAATGTTTGGAGCAGAAACCAACCAAAGAAAAATCTCTAAAGAATGCTTGTTGATGCTTCCAAATGCTGAAAGCTGCCCCAAAGGCACACTTAGTCTGTGTGGGTAAAGGGCAGGCAGAGTGCAGAGGAAAACGAGCACTGTCCACTTTGTCCAAACGTCACCTCCAAGGGGCCAATTTCTCAGAGCTGGAAAAGTAAAACAAAGGCTTGTGGTCTAATTCCAACCTCGTGTTCCTCTCTTACTTAATCTGCAGAGGAAAGCCTACACAGTCTCCAGACAGGCCCTGCTGCGTTTGTTTAATGTGTTTCATATAGTAATATATTTGTGTGTGTGTGTGTTTTGGTGTCTGGTGTATGATGTTGCTCTCAAATCAGAGGGCGCAACTGAGTCCATTGTGTGCCACTATGTAGCTACGCCAGTGAGTAGATGGCGTTGACGGGCGAGGTGGCCTCGGAGCTCTCATTGCCCTCCGTCTCGTCCTTGTCCTTCTTCACCGTGTACTGGCCGATGAAGGAACCGTCCTCGTTGAACTGGCCATCTCCACCTTCACCGTAGTCCACTAGACTGTCATCGCTTTCCTTCACGTTGCCATCCAGTGATGTCTGGCTGCCCTGCAGAGGCTTGTTGTCCTCGTCGCTGCTGCAAAGAACAAGGACAAGGAGGAGGGTTAAAGATTAAAATGGCAGCGGGGTGTTGTTGCACAGTGTCAGCAGGAGTTGGGGACCCTGACGACCCCATTGGCACAAGTTAAAAGGGAAAAGTGAAAGGTTACGGGGATTGCAGGTAAAGAAATGATGTTAATTCCATAATTTCAGCTTTTCTATTGACAAGTCTTGGTGAAGTGACTGAATGTTCAGGTCAATCAGGCCTTGTCAGACTAGAATTTTTACTTTTATGATTCATTTCTTTTCCATATTTTCCTTAAATAATAGCCTTGGATATTTTCAATTTTATATTAATGCAGTATTCACATGCTATGTGTCATTTGGAAGAGTTATCAATCTGTATTCATTCCTCCTAACCACACTGGCTGTGAAGGAGTTCCTTCATAGATTGAGGATGATGGGGACAAAATCCACAATCCTTGTTCTATGAAAAGATGCATTCTAAAGTTATTGTTTGGTACTTTTATTTTTAATTAGCCAAAGCTAATGTGAGGCTTCAGATATCTGGGTTCAGTCTTGCGATAGCAGACGATCGGCGATTTCAGAGCCTACCAATCATCTGGGGATTTCTAAATCCACAGCTAACAAACATACAACTCTTACTTTAAGGACACGCCTTACCTGAAACAAAACTCTCCCTGTATTCTTTTAAAAACATTGAAAATGGATGTCCTAAGCAACGTTATATATGGTACAACACTGTTTTTAGTGCACAACTTACGCATGTTACCGCTTTGACTTTGGGTTGGTTCTGTAAGCTACGAAAGCTGGGAGAAGGTTTTCAGCATTTAGAGACTGACTTGTGCGTCCAATTAAAAAATCAAGTGAATATCTTCATCCTGGTAGTTGTGTGCAAGTTTATTTCTGATGTTTTGTCAGGATCAAAAACACATGCCATTACCAGGATGTATACCCCTGTCCATGGAATTAGAAAAAAAAAATGTTGTACTAAAGCTTAAATTACAATTTTTGTGTCCACAAAGTTGCAAGGGTCTGTGTGAGATGAATTTCATCATCTCCTCATATAATGGATGTCCACAAAGAATACACATGGCCTCTTTACAGACATTTGTGTGCAGCGTGGGCTACTTTTTGGGCAGGTCAAAATTGTTTTGCATGGGTCGTGATAATTTGGGCAATGTTTGTAACATTTATGCAGTTTCCACCATTCAAAAGTTAGGACATATTCCAATAAATCATTCCCTCATCTAATTTTAGGTAAGCAGTTGACATTGACAGGGCACTAACACACAATGACTTATAACTGATGATAGCCAAATGACATTTTAGTTTATTACAACTAGGTTGAAACTTTTTCCAATTATTATTCCATGATAGCTTTGCGATAAAAGACTTGTAATCTGTATATGTGAGTTAGATCTTCTCACATCTAATGTTTAATCTAAAAGACTTTTCTGATGTTGGCAGGCTGTAAGCTGTGATGCCCTGATTGGGCTACTTTTAGTCACTCCAACATCTGATGCAAACACCTTATGGAATATATCTGTCCCTCAGATATGAGCTTGTTGAATCCTCATATTAGCTTCAGCCATACTGTAGAAGGCTTTTTTGCATGGATCACAGAGAGATTTGGTCCCACGTCAAGCTTAAATGGCCGTACGGAAACAATAGAGATGATTATAACTCTCTCAGCATACATATGGCATGTGACTATTGTATCAAAACAGACTTGAGAAAATCCAAACCAGTCCTTAAACAACATAGCTGCACCGCATTTTATACCAAAGATGCTTGTTGATCAACAGTTAAAAGTCGATTTTGCAGAACGCTATACAGTATTCGCTTATGTATTTTAAAAGCAACCCTGTCTCCTAAAAATTACATTCATATAAAACTCATTTGCACTGATTTGTTTCATAGGAAATGTAATTCTGCCTGGAGTAAGTTCTTTATCAGCGTAACACAGAATGTATCTTCCAATACAGAATGTTTATATTGAATTTATACTTTTAGTCTTTCCTTTACTTTAACTAAACCCTAAACATCAAAACACATAGGACGGACAAGGACTCTACGATGTAGTCCTGTGCTTTGATTATCTGTTACAACCTCATCCCTATAACTTCTGTACACTGTAAGAACGTCATACGTACTGGACTGGAAAAAATACTGCCTGTTAAAATATTCCAGGCAGCAATTACATTTCCTCCAAAACATATCTGGCAAAGCAAATAAGAAAACATACAGTATTTTGTAGGAGACAGGGGTGATTAAAAAAGATAAATACTGTCCTCAAAAATTCACTTGCATACACATGCTAAATGATGGCCGTTTTCTGACATGAGATCTAAGCATGAAAACTCCATCGGACCTCATTTATGGAGCTGTGCTTGATCTCAGTTCAGAGCATGGCTGCATGTCTCCTAACGCTGCTTTAAAAGGGGAAGAGAACTTCATGCACAGGGAGTAAGAGCTACAGACTAGCATTAGCTTTGTCTTAGATCAAGCCAGTAGCATAACAGCAAGAAATGCATTTGAAGGATGCAAAAGTGAGATATTTGTCTGTGGAGATTTCTCTTCCCATCTCATGTCTGTGCATTGCATTTCATGGTTATCAAACATGGTGTATTTACATTCCCTAGGAGAGGACAGAATCTACGCTTCTCAGAATCATCATGCTCCATGCTGAAACTCTTCACCACAAAACCACACAAATCACCTAATACATTTGAGAAACCATACATGTTAATAATCAAGAGACCAGGACAAAGGCAGCACGATAAAAGCCTGACACAATTAGAATCCAGCAAATTCAACTTAATCCAGTATTTACAATGTACAACAAAACCTTTCAGAGTAGAGCAAGAGACAAGGAGAGAAGCAGAGACGGGCTGACACGTAAGAAGGTGAAGAGATGTTACAAAGAAGATGGAGTGGAAGTTGAGAATATGCGAGGGAAGTGGTGAATAAATGGCAGTAATCTTATCAATTGACCCTTCCTAAGTCCCGCTCCTTTTTGCTCTGTGCTGCAATAACAGTTGAGCAGACCTCAGTCAACTTTCTCCTTTCCTGTACTCATGAAGGGTAAATTAAAATGCCAAGTGTGAGAACAGTGACACATTTAGCTCCAGCACACCGGATTTGAAATGAAACCATGACTATGGGAACTGACTGAGGAAAACTCAAAAAAAAGACTGCCTCAACCCCAAATCAATGGAGGTGAATGGAAGTTGGTCTGTGTTATTTAACTGCAGTTTTCATTGTGTGAAAATTATTATTATTATTTTTTTTTTAAGTTTGGATGAGCCAATTCATTAAGAATAATAGTCTTGTAACCATGACTATGATGTTAACTTAAGAAAACCTTAACCATAGAGCTGGTCCTTCAGAAAATGCTCATATTAATTTTCTTTTTGTGCAACCATGATAAGATTGTAAAAGGATCATGGGGTACTTTTTCAATACAAATGAAAGGACTTAATTGTTTTATTTCAAATCCAATGTGCTGGTGTACAGAGCCAACACAGCACAACTGTGTCACTGTCCATATAGTTGCATATTGTAGTGCATATAATGTAGTTACAAAGAAAGAAAAGTGTTGTTCTTAAAAGTTCCCAGAGGGCCTGTTAAGTTGTCGATTCAGGTATGTCCCCATAACTCATAAATATATCAGATGCAGTGTGCAGTAAGGTGAGCAGGAAAGCAGCTGGCAGATAGAAAGTAGCTCTGTTGTTCGATGTCCTTTTGAGTGTGCCGGGAGTAAATCAGAAGGACATCTCTCTATGCACCGGTGCCACTGAAACGTTTCAAGATTACATCTCTAACAGCTAATTAAATAGATCTGGCCAAGAGGCAGAGCCTTTTTCAAACCGCCTGCTCTGATTGTGTTTGCCAAGCTTGCTTTCATTTGTTGACCGTACCGCACCAGCAACTTCAGTGAGCCGGGGGTCTTTTAAGAGAGAGCCTTTTATTTCAGTGACTTCAATATGTCTTCAGAATGAAAGAGGGCAGAGCCAGGAATGATTCAATTATCTGATTAGGTGATTTTTTTGAGTAGAGTAGTTTCTTAAGAAGAGCAAAGGTGGGCGAAGTAACTTAGAAAATGGGAGAGTTTCAGATAACCTTCGTTGCATAACAAAATGTAAACTCACCCATTTGCAGCGTTCACCAAATCTCATGAAAATGACTATAGAGTCAGGATGTCAGCACTGGGTTTTGTGTTTTTCTATTTCAGCTTGACAGTTTTATGAGTATGTTATTATCCAATATCGGATTAACCATGCTTTGAAATGTTTTAATTTGATGGATTAAATGTATTAGAATGCAAATTAATTGGAATGGCTCAAACAGACACTAATCAATTAGAATGCACTGCAAATGAGCAATAGAGGACTAGATTTTCTTAGAGCGGGATTAAGAGGACTCAGGTGGTGATACCGGAGACTCTCTTCCTTTCATACCTTTCAAGAGACCTTTGGACCAATGACGAAAATAAATCCCAAAAGAGACGAAGGACACAGACATAAAGTGGGGTGGGTAGAACAGAAAGACAGTCATGAGACAGATGGATAACCAGACATGAACAGATACTGAAAAAGGAAGCCTAACTTTGTCGGTGTAGGGAGATGTGGAACAACATTAACACTTCTTTGCTAAGGGCAGAGGTAAATACATTTTAATCATCATAAGCCTAGTGACATAAAACAAATAAAGTAAAGCTTTGAATAAAATAAATGATTATTAAACATATGAGAAAAGGGCAGCATAGCATGTGTCTGGGCCATCTAACTCCAGCTTGTTACGACTTAGGTCTTGTTTTTGTAGTTTCAGCCATCATTTCGTAACCCGCTAGAGCATGAAATTATGTGAGAATCTATTTTGCCTATGCATTTGTGTCCGAACTACAATGGTACCGGACCAATCAGTGTCCTTTGAGAAAGTATTGGCAGCTACATGGGTGGGCTCTACACGTGACGCAACAATGGCAGCTCCCATAGAGGTTAGCGTAGATGCTGCTAGCATCCAGTACATACTTATCAGTATTTCTTAATAACCAAGAAATAACTACTTCCCATATGGTTCTGTGTAACAAACCACATGGTGTAGTCAGGTTAATCATTTCTATTAGTTATAATAACACTAAAGTCACCAAATGTTGCTATATTGGAACATGGGGACTTCTACTAAGTTTGATGGGGCAGGAAACACAAAGCAATCACACTGTAACCTAATGACTACACAATGGATGATTCCATACATCATGATTTACATTGTCTGATTATACAATATCAACGTTCTTGGTTCTCAACAGGATTGGGTTGTGAAGAAGCCAACTAAACATTCAGATGACATCTATAATGTCATAGCACTTGGTATCAGCAAGTACCCAAATCTAAATACTTGTATTTGCTTTGAAACAAAGTACCGATATGAGTTCTTAACAATACTATTACAGTTCTGACAATGACTTTGAAAACATGTTTTATTTTCATCAAATGTTCCTCATGTTCTGACTGTAACAAATTAAATGTTGTTAATGTTGTAAAAGTTGCTTAAAATATCTCCAAACTGCTGACATTGCTTCTCCTCTGCCTGCTCAACTAACAAGTCTAAAGTGGTATCTGGTGCACTATCAGAGAAGTTTTATGACTACAAGTACATGAGCACAGTATCGCTACAGATACTCGTATTGGTGCATCCCTACTTATAAACCTTCATGACACAGCAAAACAGTGTGCACACACAACTACAGTGAGTACAGTGGGTCAAAGTTGAATCACAAAGTGCTTACAATGGACAGTCTGGGTATTAATTGTTGTTAATTAATTTGAGTATTAAGTGTTCACCTTTGTTGCTCGTGTTTACTGCGACCCCATGACTTATTTTAAGCGATGTTGCCGCATTGCCAGATCTCAGCAATTAACTTGGTTTTTACAATGCTGATGGCCAACTACAAAAATAAAAACCCAGGTAGTAATAAATTTGATTTATCCTTTAAGGGGATGGTTCAGGTTTTTTGAAGTGGGGTTGTATGAGGTACTTGTGAGTAGATGGCAGTCAGCATGACCCCAGTTTAGAAAAGCAGACAGGAGTACCAGAATGGAAGCGAAGCAATGTACATAAAAAAAACAATATCAGTTTAAGTGCACGCTATATTAAGAATTACCACTGTTTTACCTTGCCATCACATAGCCTTTTTTGGACAGGACACTGAAGCTGTTATATCCATTTATGCCCTATCCAAAGCCGACAGACAAAACCATATATAAAAGCTTCAGTTTCCCATATGAAGGAGCTGTCTGACAGCAAGGTGTACATCAGTACATTGCTTAGCTTCTGTGCTGGTACTCCTGTCTGCTTCTCCAAACTGGTGGTGTGCTGACATCCGTCTACATATAACCCCACTTCAAAAAACCCAACTATCCCTTTTCAACTACAATATAACATCCCATGTGTTTTTCATGCGGGATGACAAGTAAAACTGTTCTTATTAAGAAAAGTTAATGATGTTTAATTCTTAGTACTGCAAACTAAAGCTACTAAAGATCCTCTGAAAGAAGTGCAAAACAAGGTGGAGAAAACAGGAGAAGCTATGCACAGAAGAAATACTGTGTCATGTGTATTTTCTACTTTCAAGATTCATGGATCCATGGTCCAGTGACTTTCTTTGATTGGGTCTTTAAGGTGTTTGTCCAGTCTTTTGTCCTCCAAATGTTCTCCAGTTGTTGCCTAAATCGGTTCCTTAAGGGTGTCAAATTGTGCCAAACATAGATCTGTCCTGCCCCCCCCTTGCCCTCACTACAACCCAAATTGATTTCCCTCGCCATCTCTCGCCTTGTGCACCAGGTGGCGGATGCTTTTTAAATGTCAGCTGGCGGAGGAAAAACAATGCAATTAACCTCTAGAAGGGTGAAAAACATGTTAGTGCCTTAGCTGGAACAAAAAAAGGTGCAAGACCTTCCATACTGTTCACCTGGGCTGTTTTCTAGGATCAATACATCTGCTTTTACTGCTGGAACAGTAACTTGGAACTGATTTGGTTATGGGAATGAATGCATCTTTGCTTTATTACTTACAGGAGAAGAAGTTTTACACAATGTCATTGGATACTGACTATTCCAGGGTGCAGGCGACACTGCACATTACTACATTAAGATCATGTTGATGTTATGTTAATGTTGCTCGATTAAAAAGCAGCTTTGAGACATAAAATAAAAGAATAAATGAAACTCCGGCAGGGGGCCATGGTCTCTGTTTTAATTGAGGTTTCACTGCTAGTGTGCCCTGTATTGTATTGACAATTTGACACCCATAAAATAACCAAAGCTGGCTCTCTGCTAATCATATTTCATCATTATGGTGCCAGCTACTTGCGTTTAAGTCTCCTGTCTATAACATTGTTTAAATAATTTAAAACCAGTGCAGGCAAGTTGCACTGCTGTTGCTGACATCATGAATGAAAACTGTGCACTCTTTACAGACTGACCAAAGAGCGTTACTCAGGCATACTGTCGTTTGGTCTCCCCAAATAAGCTCCCCCAGCTCAGGGGGAACATGTGCTCCCCCCGACATGCACAGGCCAAGAGAGATGCCGTGCGGAATCCAAAGTACCTGTTCTCGTTTTCGTTCCTGTCAGGGACAGATGACCCATTTCAGCGTGGGAAAAAGAGAGGGACGAGATGTGAGGAAACAGGGGAGACAGCAAGAGAGAGTGCCGGGAAAGAAAGAGGAAGGAGGGAGGACAAGCTCCACATGATACATGCCAGTAAATCCTTGCATGAACACAAACACACGAACACACCGACAGAGCTGAGAGGACTTGAGGGATTAGCAGCAGGAACGGAGTCTGGGTCAGAATCAGAGCAAAGCAGTGACCTTGACAGTGAGAGAGGGGTTGGGTGTTAATGTTAACTCAGTATTGATTAAAAAACAAAAGACAGGATATTACAGACTGAAGATGGATTAATCACACTGTGTTAGGCACAATAGCACAGCACCACTCAGGTGATAATAAATGCTGATTGCAACTGTTTTGAAATTACCCTCCACACTCATATAGAGCCATCTTTTGAATTTTAATGCCAGCAGGCACACTGCTGTGTCAATCAAACACTGTAATTTCACACTTATAGCAAAGGCATTTTTTACCAAAGCAGAGCTACATAATGAGATAGGATAATGAGATACAGTTTACATGTACATTCCCTTGTGCTTTGGATATGTATAACATGGATAGTCTGAATACTATAAAAGACAGGATCCTCATGATATGTTAGTATTCATACTTTTCTCTTTTCATCAATAGGATCCAAGGTCAATAATAAGATTCAGAGGCATCTTCTCATTCTACAGTCTAAATTAAAGCTAACAGTTTAGTGCCACTCACACACAGCTGAGTTAGAACATGTACTTAGATTTAGAAAGCGGGTTAAATTCAACATGTGTTTAGTCAAAGTGGACAGAAAATGACGACATTCATTCTTGATAAAGAAGAATCAAGCCACAGTGATCAGTGGGACCTGGAAGGAGCAAAGGACACGTCACTTACGAACACACACCAACACATTCTGCAGTATATACATTACATCCTCACATGATACGGCCTATCTTATAAAGGTCCACTGCACAACTCAGTACGTTCCTATTTCATATGAGGCGAGGTGTCTTGTATGGCAGTTTGAATATTGGATAGTGGGATGGCATTGTGCCTCAGTTGCTTGAGCTAGAAAACTTCATCTGCGCCCACACTAATACAGATACACGTCCACACCTACATTTTTACATAGTTTTTAAAAAGCTTGCCATCCACATAAATGGCAGAAGAATAGGAAACAGACTGTTACTTTTCTTTGAGTTGGCAAACAACAAAACTGCATTGTAATGGTATAGTTAAGATGTCGGCCTACATTGGATAGATAGACTTATACAACTGATCTTAACAGGTTATATCTCTCTTCTGTTGCATTCGACTTCCTCTGTGATCCATTTGTTTTCCTTACACTTCATTTAAGCCAAACACACAATACAGTTATCACTGACATATCTTTTTGATGGTTGTCAGAATACTCTGCTGGCTAACTAAAGCTAATATCAATTGACCCTTCCTAAGTCCCGCCATTTTTGGAACCTTGGCCAACTTCCTCCTTTCCTGTACTTAGATATGCTATGTGCTAGGCCCATCTATGTTGAAAAGACAACTACATTTTGAAAATGGTTAAAAGATAAAGGCAACATATAGACACATCTTAAGCTAGCTAATCTACATTAATTGTTAGGTAGTTACATCTGATAGCCATTAGCAAAATGCACGCTAATTGCTCAAGGACACAACATGTGGCAGGAGGAGCTGGGGATCAAACCAACTACCTTCCAATTAGTGGACTACCCGCTCTTCCTCTGAGCCACAGCCGCCCTATATGTGATATTCATGCTGCATCAACTATGAAAAACACTATACACACTTCGTCTGTATTATGTAGTAGGGGGTTCCATACAGTGTTAGTTGTGGTGGCCTCTGTGGTCAAAAGCGGTAGTGTTTTTACCACCTTTTTTCATTGATTTTAAGGGGAATCTGACCGAATTCAACCTTGTGGCAGACATTAAGAATAACTATACAGAAATATTTTCACTGATGGTCTTGTTTGTTTATGTAGGTCATATAAATGCACCAGTAATAAAATGAGACTGTTTTATAACCAGTTAAAAACTCATTACATTATGTTTAAGTAATTTATTGGATGTGTGTTTAAATCACTGTTTGCAACAGTCTGCTATAGAATACCCAGTCTTACCTGAGTTGGAGTTGTCTAGACTGACTGTGCTGAGCAGGTCCTTCTCCCTCTCATAGTCACTCTTGCACAGCAGCTGACCCTCTTTCAGAACAAACTCGTCTCCTTTGCACAGCTGGCGCTCACAGACGCAGCAGCAGAAGCAGCTAAGGTGGTAAACGCTCTCCAGAGCTCGCATTACAAACTCTGTGGGTGCTATCTTCTCCAGACAGCCACTGCACTTGGTGGCAAACAGCCTGCGGATACACAGGAGAAAGAAAGATGTTAAAAATACAGAATGTACAGGGGGAAAGTGTTCAATAACCACATATCAATAAATTGAAAATGGGCTTGCTGAGTAATTAAATGAATTTATTTGATATAGTGCACAATAAGAAAGAAATCTGAAAGGAGTCATTGGTCATCTGGATGTATCAGATGTGGAGCAGGACTTATGATGGGAGCAGACTAGACCCATGGGCGCTGGATGTGAAGGAAAAGAAGGAGGGTTGCAGTGTCCTGTATACCCGCCAAGTAGCCCACATAAAGGTTGTGTAACAGGTAAAAAATATATTTATATAAATTCACAAGCACAAGTAAAAGTTTACTAAATGCAGGTAAGAACAAAAATAAGCTAATTTCAGCTCAGCTCATTTTTTGAGATAACAGTGGATTGGAAAAGACAAGAGAAAAAGGGTTGGTGAGACGAATGAATTAGGAGTCCTGGGAGGGAGAGAGTTTACTAAATATACTGTACAGTGTGGCATTACTGTATATGCTGTAACCAGAAACCAGAAAGAAGCCAGATGTAGCTGAGCTAAATGAATGAGCTATTACTTAGCTTTTATATTTAACCCTTTCAAGCTCTCTGTGTATGTGGTAGGGTTTTTGATGTTGTAATGGGCCCACAGAAGGCCTGCTCAAAGGGCTGATTCATGGAAAGAATAGGGACAATTTTCCAACCGCTCCCCAAAACCACCTAATGAGGCAATATGCGATTGTGGCTGCTATTAGATGAGGGAATATTACTGAATATTACTGAGTCTGGTCCACTTTGAGAAATTCAAGATGCCTGATTTATTTTATGTATCTGATTTATTTCCTGGTTGCATGGTGGTGCAGTGATTAGCACTGTGACCCCAAAGCAAGAAGGCTCCTGGTGCTCCAGCTTACAGGTTAATTGGTGGCTCCAAATTGCCTTTAGGTGTGAATGTGAGTGTGAATGTTTTTTTTGTTTCTGTGTCAGCCCTGTGATTGACTGATGACCTGTATGTTAACAGCTCCAGCTCCCCCATGACCGTAAGGATAAGTAGGTTCATCTTTTTCTTTCTTTTTTGTTAAATTAAAGATGCCATCATCTAGTCAATTCCAGAAAAACTGCTACATTAAAGCTGCAGTAGGTAACTTTTCTAAAAATAACTTTTTTTTTTGTCGTATTTGCTGAAACGTTCACTATATCCTGACAGTAGTACATGAGACAGATAATCTGAGAAAATCTGGTTCCTCTGGCTCCTCCTAGTGCTCCTGATGGCATTTGAAAGAATCCACCGGGTATGATGACCTCAAGCTGAAGAGCAACCAAGCTGAAGAGTGGAGCCAAGACTGCCAGTGGAGCCAGAATTGCAGCCAGCACAGATCTCTATAGACACATTCTCCCTGCTGACAGTGCACAGTAAGAGTGAGAAAACCTCCCAGAGAAAGAGCGGGAAGAAAGAGAGAGATCACAGAAGCCAAGGAGAGAGAAAAGATAGACAGGGAACAAAAAACTAAAGAGAGTGAGTTGTGTGAAGGGTCTTTTTTGGAAATGTTGAAATGGTGTGGGGAGTGTTTGTGTGTGTGAGTGTGTGTGTAGTACATTTCTGTACCTCATAAGCTTGTTGTGCTCTGTGACTGATAGAAACTGAATTGTGTATAATATGTGTAGATGGCAAATATGCCTTTATATGGGACTATGCAAAGCATCCGGTCACAAAATATGATCTATATATTATATATTATATTTCAAACTGGGGTCCGCACTGCCTAGTTTGACAGTTTGATCTGAGTTTTGTGCATTCTGTTTATCATCTGTTTTATTCTAAATGGGATCATAATTTACTAAATGAACAGCATGCTGTATGGAAGAAGACTGAAACGAGATATTGAGACCATAAACTAATCAGGAAACTGTTTACTGAGCTCATAAATCAAGTCAGAAGTTTCTTAGTTTCTCCATAAGACTCAATATTATCAGACTTCTTCTTTGCCCCCTGATGGCCATTAGAAAGAATGCAGGTTTAGGACACGTCACTGTTATTTTCACTACATAAACCAGGAAGCTCTGTTCACTAATTATACACCTTCCCCTATACATACGTAAGGCCATAGCACCATGAATGTGAAGACACAGTAGCTATAGGACAGTCACAGGCTCACTGTGTACATTCAGCCTGTTACTTAATGGATTAACAGTGGCTACTGTTAAAAAATGGCAGTTCAACATGATGGACCTAATGGAAGGCGACCTGTGGTGTTTGTAAATAAAAACAGCTCATTCTAAGATAACAAAAACACATAGATTCTCAAATTCAGGTGATTATACACTAAGAAAACATACTTAGGAATATTATATTTCTGACAATAAATGTTAAATGGACTGAACTTTTGTAGCGCTACACCACATTCACTCTGAACATACATCATTCTGCACAGTAAAGATCAAACATCACACTGCAGGAACAAGAAGGAAAACTGATTTTTGACTGGAGGGGGACTTTTGGACCTTTGTTTCCATGGTTGTGATGTCATGATTGTTGAATCTGGAAAAGGAGGGCAGGACAGAGGAATGGGAGGAGGAAGGAGGTATAGCTGTAAGGTTAGTGTTTGGACAGCTGCACTCCTCCTCCTCCTCCTCTCTGAGTGTGACCATACCCTCCTCTATTCAACAGCTCTTTCTCCCTGCTGTCCACCTCCCTCCATCTCTTTCAGTTCCTCTTTTTCAACCTCTTGTCTCTCCTGCCTCTCTGTTCAGATGCTGACATTTATAGGCAGTGAAGAAAATGGAAAGAGAGCACAGGACACAGGGACACGATAGGTATTAAAGCTGCAGTAGATAACTTCTTTCTCATATTTACTGAAACTTTCACTATATCCTGACAATAGTACACAAGACAAAAAATCTGGTTCCTAAGTACAGTCTATTTGCTTTCATTCTAGCCCGCTGGATTCTTGCAAATGCCATTAGGAGCACTACAACAAGCCAGAGGAACCTGATTTTTTTTTCACAGATTATCTGTCTCATGTACTACTGTCAGAATTCAGTGAAAATGTCAGCAATAATGACAAATGGTTATTTTTATAAAAGTTACCCGATGCAGCTTATAAGCTAATGAGACTATTTGCAGTACAGTAGCTACGGTTATCATCTGTTGTTTTAAGTGAAAGACTCCACTGATGTGTCGATGCACAGGGGCAGAGCCTGGGCAGATGAGGGTAGCACTCTGGGTCCGGATCGCCACGCACGGGACATTGACAGTCTTGACCGCTATGCTATGGAGCGCTGGGAGGTCATCCTGCATTTCATGGTGGGTTCTCCCTGTGCTGCTGTAAGTCAGGACCTGGCTCAGCTGCTGGTTCAAGCAGGCCTCATGAAAAGGTACACAGTAGTAATAGTAGAGAACACGGATCAGTTTATTATTACACACACATTTAAATAATACTCATCAAATATGTTTTGTAGTGTCATGTATGTAACATGTAGTTCAGTTGTGTACTTCCATTATCCCAAATGTTTCCAACAATGTTCAAACTCAGAGAAATCTGTCATTTTATTTAGGTAACGCTGCGTTTCAGTGGTCACCTGTTAATGGCATCATATCCCCTTTGTGCATGCGTCAGCGTTGTGCTGTCATACATTGACTTTTTATC